ACATTTATCTCATGCAACCTATACAAAAACTGATCTCAACCGTTGAAAATCAATTTTGCCTCCAACCGTTCCTTATTCATCATTTAGCAATTATTGAGGCGCCCAAATCCTTTTTTTTTTTTTTTTATCCATAAACCCGTGGCTGCCGAATGGAATAAGGTTTTCAAGCATGGCGGTCCTTGGTCTAACCGATAGATGTTTTCACTTTCCTTACTGGTTCTAAAAGGAAACAGACAGTTTTATTGGCTAATTGAATGAATCCAACTTGGGTTTCTCTATCGTCTTGTTTGTCCTCTTTAAGAAGACAAGTAAGGATAAATAGTTAAAACTTCTAACTTCTTGCATTACCGACTTTGTTTCATATATCAGTCAAATTTAAGTGATTATGTCAATCTTTTTTTGTTTTTTTATGGCAGTCGGCAGTGGAGGAGTCACAAGGGGGCTAGGGGCAGCTGCTCCCAAGTTATGAAAAATTCCTTTTGATTCCTTAATACTTTGAAGAATTTCCATTTAAAATCATACTTTTACCCCCCTCCCCCCAATCTAATTTTTGCCTCATGAAAATTATTATCTTTTAGACTTTAAATACTTTTAGATTTCTATTTAGTTAGTTCATGTACATAATTTAACTTCATAATACATGTTTTTTTTAGAATTTTATGTATTACCTCCTTGAAATTCAGTATTAAAGCAAAGAGATTTTTTTTCCCGGTGCATAAGAAATGAGAAGGTAGAGACATGAATAGTTATACGAATTTGATATATTATCATGTATCTTGATCCAATATTGGGGAAATAGCTTCCTACTTATGGTTTGTAGACTTATTTTTTATTATTACTCTATTAAAAATCATCTTAAGACCATAAAAAACTTCTTCATATAGAAATTTGGTTTGAAATAATGTACATTGATTTGGGATTATATATAAAGACCAAATCATTAAGCGATATAGTCACAAAGAATTAACGCACATTTTATGATTTTCAAATTTACGCTCGTAAAGTAAAATTTGCACACATTTTTTGAGTTCAGCCCCACTTTTTAAAAATCCCGTCCCTGCCATGCTAAATGTGAGAACCCAGAACGGAAAAAAAAATTAGGATTTTATTCCTGTGCACCCGTTTTCTTTTATTTTCTTTATTATATTACTTTTATCCACATGTTATCAGGAAATATAGTTTTTAAATCATTTTTCTAATATAAGGTAGTTCGTGAGAAATTAGGAGTATATTTTGGACGTGGGGCCCGCTAGTGTATTTAGTGAGAGAATTTCGGCCAATTCAGTTCAATTTTCCATAAAGGGATTTAATTACTAGGTGTTAGTAGATGATTAGAGGTTATCTAGATGGTTTAATTATGGAGGGACAAGAAGATAACTCTAAACAAAACAAAGTGCCAAGTGTCCAATTCTTGTTGGATTAAACTTGCCTAATTTTGCCTAACTTTCTTTATCTTTACTTAAAGGTCTAATTTTGACCAAGACATCTTCATTCTTCATCCTCTCTTGGCCGAATTCCTCTAGGAAGAAAAGGGAAGAAATCTTCAACCTTCCATCTTCAAATCCTTGCCAAATCTTGAAAATTAACCGATTGTTTCTTAAATTAGTCCATAAAATCATCTTGCTAAGGGTGTTTGAAAAACTTGGTGGTGTTGTTTTGGAAGAAAACCTCCTAAGCTACAACCTTTCTTGAAGAACTAAGGTATCTTGCTTGGAACTCATCTTTTGTTTCTAATTTTGGCCAATTGGTGCCTTATAGTAGCTATATACGTGATTTTACGGAAGATTTGGTGGATTGGAGTGAAGCTAGCTAATTTTCTGATTTTGTGGGTTTATTTCTGTTTTCCTATGATGGATATGTTTGGGCTTGAATTGATGGTTCTAAATGGTGTTAAATAGCTCTCTTATACGTTAATTGTGGTTATTTGCGAAAAATTTCAGATTTAGGGTTTCAAATTGGGGGTTTTCTATGGATGATTGTTGAGCTTCTAATTGGCTCTAATTGAGGGGTATTGTGACCCTAATGAAGTATATTGAATGGCTTATGAATTGCTTGGGTGCTTGTGGTTGTGTTGGATGGCTTTTAATGGTTGTTTTGTAGGTTGGAAAAGCTGACATTTTAGGGGAAATGCTGTCCGAGTGTCTGGGGTATTGGGTTCTTGTGAGTTGGGTTGTGATTGGATAGAAATGAGCAATTTTAGGGATTGTTTCTACTGTTAACCCTAAATGCTATGCATTTCCTATTTTCCAAGCTATATTTGGGTTTTACCTTAATAGTTCCTAGTATAAGGTATTCGACTCGTGTTTGAGTCTTAATTGTACTTTCTTGATTATTATAGGGCGCGCCGGTGATCCGAGACTCACGTCGGGCGAAAACTTGTGAAATTTCTTTATTTGACTTGGTGAGTATACTACTCACATATTTGTTATTCCGTGGCTTTCTTGTACTTGAATTCTGTGATTTGGGCTAGTTGTGATGATTGGTTGAGCTAGGTGAGGCAAGGGTGTACTTTACCACTCTCGTACTCTCTGGCCTCCTTGACTGATTATTATATTAGGCCTACTTGCTTGTTTATGATATCACTTGAATACTCTTGACTGTACTTGATTTGGTGTCGATTGGATACCAACCTTTACTGTAACTCTGGACTTTTGCCGTTCACTCTGAGCTCTACCTTATTGGAAGTCAATGGACTCGAGCTAGTAAGGACTTGGTCGGGGACATTTGACAAGCCATGGGGATTGTATTTGGGAATCTTTGGGTATGAGACCCTTGATTCCGGTATACTCGAATAATACCAATTCTGTACTGTTTGGTGTTCGGGCCCGGTAAAGGGAAAGTGAGGTGGACGGATAATTGGAGTAAAGAGGAGTCTACGGTCATGATTACCTGGTATACATTGACGGAGGGTCAATGAGATGAGATCAAGTATGGCAAAAGAGGAAAAGGGCTTTTGAGAGCCATCCGTATCCTTTTATTCCTTATATTTGGGCGTTGTTGCTTTTGCTTACTTGACGTACGTATTTGAATTGAATATTCTTGTGTTTATGTGCTCCTGGTATATTACGTGATGGTATCTCATTGGGCGAAAGCTCACTCCGTTAATTTTGTTTTCCTTACAGGGAATTACCTTTTGGACTTTTGCTTTTGAAGAATGAGTTGAGTAGAGCTAGTTGAGAGATTTTGTGTAGCTCCTCAATAGTTGGAACCTTAATTGTACCTGGATTTAAATGCTTTCTTTTGGTTTGTAACCCTACAGATGTGGTTTATATTAGTGTGTGTACTCATGTTCAATGTATTATACGGGACTTGTATATGTTCATTTCAAGAATTGTATGAAGTTGCTTGCATTTGATTGGGTCTTGAGCGGATTGTGACCTGGCAGTCACTATTCGCTTTACGTTTTAACTTTTGCTTTCCGTTTCTCGATTGTTGGTTTGGTTAAGCGCGCTAATAGACACCCGAACAACTTGAGCTGGTGTTGTACCGTTTTAGTAGTCCTGGCGAGAGTTAGGCAGGCAATCCGCTAACTCCTTTGGTACGCCTTAGGGGAAGGTGGGGCTGTCACAGGTGGTATCAGAGCCTAGATTAGAAATAACCTGGGCGAACCTAAGACCTAATTCTTAGCATTTTGAGGATTGTGTTTAGACGCCATTAAGTGTGAATATATTGTCTAAGATGTAAACCTTTGCTATCTTTGTAGGTTATGGCCGGCACTAGTGGAGCGGGCGGAGACGAGCCACCTCAGAGGCTACCCTCGGGTTATCGATTACCAGGAGAGACCGGGAGGTCCGATTCGGCTGTGGTATACCGCTAGCCGAACCCGCCGCTGTAAGCGTTGCCAGTTTTACTCTTACGCGGACCACGTGGTTGAGGCGGTACTTGCCGAGCGACGGAGGCTTGGATGTGACGCCGCCAGGGAGCGCACTGAGACCCTTAGACTTAGGGGCATCATGCGGATGCAGGCCGATAGGATTGGAGAGCTCCAGGGGGACGTGGTCATGGAGCGGGAGAGGACGGACGCTCTGAGAGAGCAGTTGCAGGTGGTTAACGACCGCCTTACTAGAGTAGTCCGGGAAGTGAGAGACCGGTCCGGCGCTATTATCGACGAGTGTGGGGCGCTAATCCAGGGAGTGATTGGCGCCAATGCGCCAGGGGGAGTTCCAGGTGGCGGAGCTCCAGGTCAGGGAGGCGCCCCTAGCTCTAGTTCTGGGGGGGAGTCGGTTGGCTCCGTCAAGGACTAGATTAGGATTTTTGAACCTTGTTTTGATCCCGTGTGAGGGATACCTAGGAAAAGTTTTTGGTTAGTTGTTTTGCACCTTTTGGGACCTAGGTTGTACAGTGTATTTTGGTAGACCCTCTTTTAGCTTCACGGGAGTACCTTTGTATATATCTGCCTGACTGCTTATGTATGACTGTTTGACACAGTTATGTGTTCCATGTATAAATGTGCTATGTGAATATATGCCTTAAGTGGTGTTTACTTTTGATTCTTTGTTCATGCTTATATGACTATAATTATATGCACTTTTAATATTATTTTGTGCCTCGACTTTAGATTGACTTAAAGAATGGAAGGCACTCGTAGTGGGCGAGACAGCGGGCGCGGGGTTAGGCAACTCACAACTGACGAGGGTACTAGGGATACCACGACTGAACCAAATCCTGAACCTAGGGTTGACCCTAGTGCCCAGATAGCTGCTGCTATGCAGCAAATGACTGACCTGTTAGCCCACGTAGTGCAACAGCAGGGCCAACCTCCTATCCAGCAACCTGGGAACCCTGGCCATGTAGTAGAGAGTGAAGATCGGGTCCTAGAGAGATTTCAGAAGTTCTCTCCACCAAAATTTCTGGGCGGGCCAGATCCGGACGTGGCCGAAAAGTGGTTAGAGAAAATGATAGATATTTTTACCGCCCTACACTATTCAGAGGAGAGGCAGGTTACTTTCGCTGTCTTTCAATTGGAAGGGGCCGCACGTTCTTGGTGGAACGTGATACGAATGAAGTGGGACCGAGAACAAACACCAAGAACATGGGTAAACTTTGTGAGGGACTTCAATGCGAAATACTTTCCCCCTCTAGTCCAGGAAAAGAAGGAGGACGAGTTCATTAGACTCCGTCAGGGGACTCAATCGGTAGCTGAGTACGAGAGCCAGTTTACTCGTTTATCTAAATTCGTCCCTGAACTCATTCTGACGGAGCAAAGGAGAGTTCGACGTTTTATTCAGGGGCTCAATGTGGAAATTCAAAAGGATCTGGCGGTAGCCCAGATCAATACCTTTAGTGACACCGTGGAGAAAGTTTTGCGAGTTGAAAATGCAAGGCTTCAAGTAAGAAACTTTCAGGTGAAAAAACGGGGAGTAGTTCGACCCAAGGAGATAAAGGGACCCCTCCCAAGTTTGGACGAGGAGCCGGTGGAGGAAGGCAACCGGGGATGACGCAAGAGACTCCGCCGAGGGGTGGTCATAATGGACGGAGCCCGCAGAAAAGCACCTAACAAGGAAGTTCGGCCTCAGTTGCACGAGGACCCTGTGGATTTTGTGGAAAATCAAACCACACCGAGGATGACTGTTGGAGGAAGGAGAGAAGATGCTTGCGCTGCGGGAGTGCAGAGCATCAAATAGCTAACTGTCCAGTGTTACCTCGGGAGGCGAGAGCAACCACCCAGTCGTCGAAGGCCAACTCGGGACAGTCTAAGGTAGAAGGGACAAAGCTAAAGGTGCCAGCTCGGGTTTACTCCCTGGAGCAACATCAAGTCCCTGATTCCTCTGGGGTTGTAGAAGGTACGATCCCGGTTTTCCATCGTCTAGCTAGGATTTTGATAGATCCTGGTGCTACCCATTCCTTTGTTAACCCCAATTTTATGTGCGGCATTGATATAAACCCTATTAGCTTGCCTTATGACTTAGAAGTTAGTACTCCTATGGGGGACCAACGTTTGATTACTGGTTCGATGTATGCGAATTGCAAAATTTGGGTAGGAGAGAGGAAGCTTTTGGGGAACCTTATAAGTTTAGCCATTCAGGGGTACGACGTTATACTGGGTATGGACTGGCTAGCAAGGTACGATGCACAACTTGATTGTAAGAGGAAAATAGTGGAACTTCGTATACCGGGGGAGGCAACCTTAAGACTAGATGTAAGAGGTAGTTTAGTCTCATCTGCATTGATCTCGGGTATTAAGGCTAGGAAATTTCTGTATAGAGGGGCTCAAGGGTTTCTAGCTTTTCTGATAAACACTCCCACTGATAAGCTAAGGGTTGAAGATGTGCCTATTGTAAGTGAATATCCGGATGTGTTTCCTGATGAATTAGTAACTTTACCTCCGAAAAGAGAGATAGAGTTTAAGATTGACCTATTGCCAGGAGCGTCACCTATCTCTAAGACCCCCTATCGAATGGCACCTGCTGAACTCAAGGAGTTGAAATTGCAGTTGCAAGATCTGTTGGAGCGTGGGTTAATTCATGAAAGTGGATCTTCTTGGGGGGCTCCGGTACTATTTGTTAAGAAGAAGGATTGACTTTAAGATTGTGTATCGATTATCGGGGACTAAACAATATGACCATTAAGAACAAATACACACTTCCCCATATTGATGAACTGTTTGACCAGTTACAAGGCGCAGTGGTCTTTTCAAAGTTAGATCTCCGACAGAGTTACTATCAGTTGCTAATTAAAAAAGAAGATGTACCAAATACTGCTTTCAATTCTAGATATGGGCATTTTGAATTTGCAGTCATGCCCTTTGGGTTGACCAATGCCCCTGCCGCCTTTATGGATCTGATGCATCGGGTTTTCAAACCCTACCTGGACCGATTTGTTGTCGTGTTTATTGACGACATTTTGGTCTATTCTAAAACCCGTGAGGAACATGAGCAGCGTTTAAAGTTAGTGTTACAAACCCTGAGAGATCATCAACTATACGCCAAATTTAGTAAGTGTGAATTTTGGCTGGAGAAAATTTCTTTCCTGGGACATGTGATTTCAAAAGAAGGTATCACGGTAGACCCCGCGAAAGTAGAGGTGGTAGCTGAATGGAAGAGGCCAGAAAATCCCACTGAGATTCGCAGTTTCCTAGGGTTGGCTGGGTATTATCGACGCTTTATTAAAAACTTTTCCAAACTAGCCGGCCCTTTAACCGATCTGACGAAGAAAAATGGCCGTTTTGTGTGGGATACTAGGTGTGAAACCAGTTTTCAGGAGTTGAAGCGAAGGTTAACCATGGCTCCTGTTTTAGCCTTGTCTAATGGGAATGACAGTTTCACTGTTTATATCGATGCTTCGAGGGAAGGTTTGGGGTGTGTGTTAATGCAAAACAAGAACGTGATTGCCTTTGCCTCTAGGAAACTAAAAATCCATGAACAAAACTACCCTACCTATGACTTGGAGTTAGCTGCGGTGGTCTTTGCTCTGAAAAAGTGGAGACACTATCTCTACGGGGTTACCTTTGAGGTTTATTCAGACTATAAAAGTCTTAAGTATCTCTTCTCCCAAAAAGAGTTGAATATGAGGCAACGCCGGTGGATGGAACTCTTAGAAGATTATGACTGCACAATCAATTACCATCCGGGTAAAGCTAATGTAGTAGCGGACGCCCTAAGTCAGAAAGCTCAAGTAGCAGGGTTGTTGGTCAAGGAGTGGGAGATGTTAGGAGCAACTAGCGAGTGGAACCCTAGATTGGGATGCAAGAAAATAACTTTTGAAAATATTCGGGTAACCTCTACTATTCTTAATCGAATTAAAGAAACTCAAGAGAAGGATCCGACGGTACAAAAGTGGAAGGAAAAGGTAGAAAAGGAAGCATTACCTGATTTCAATTTGGGTCCTGAAGGGATTTTAAGATATAGGAACCGGGTGGTGGTAGCCAATGATGAAAACTTGAAAAGAAAAATTTTGGAGGAATCCCATCGATCGAAATACACGATCCATCCTGGTAGTAATAAGATGTACCAAGACTTGCGACGATTGTACTGGTGGGATAAGATGAAGAGAGAGATTGCCCAATATATCCAAACCTGTCTGATTTGCCAGCAAGTTAAGGCTGAACACCAAAAACCCTCTGGACTATTACAACCTCTTGAGATACCCGAATGGAAGTGAAAAAATATCACGATGGACTTTGTTTCTGGACTGCCAAGAACTCAAAAAGGACATGATGCCGTTTGGGTGATCGTTGATCGGTTGACCAAATCGGCCCATTTCTTACCTGTGAATGTGAAGGATTCTATGGATAAGCTGGCTCGGTTGTACCTGAATGAAATTGTGAGGTTACATGGGGTTCCAGTGAGTATAGTTTCAGATCGAGATCCTCGTTTTGTATCGAGGTTTTGGCAAAAGTTTCAGGAGCACTTAGGGACCAAAATTAACCTTAGTACCACTTATCACCCCCAGACGGATGGGCAGTCGGAGCGAACGATTCAAACCCTCGAGGATATGTTACGAACTTGTATTCTGGATTTTGGGGGTAACTGGGGTCAACATATGACTTTGGTAGAGTTTGCTTACAATAACAGTTACCATTCGTCCATTCAAATGGCACCATATGAAGCTCTCTACGGACGGAAGTGTCGTTCGCCCATTTATTGGGATGAAGTAGGAGAAAAAAAAGTTCTAGATCCAACAACCATTCCCTGGATGGAGGATGCACAAGAAAAGGTTAAATTGATCCGTCAAAGACTCTAAATAGCTCAAAGCCGACAAAAGAGCTACGCCGATAACCGAAGGAAAGATTTGGAGTTCGAAGTTGGAGACCGTGTTTTCCTTAAAATCACGTCACTACGAAGCGTCACTGCGGGTAGAGGAAAGAAACTTCAACCACGGTTCGTGGGGCCTTACAAAATTCTTCAACGAGTTGGGAAAGTAGCGTACCGACTCGAGTTGTCGCCAAGTTTAGCTCGGATTCATGACGTTTTCCATGTTTCGATGTTGAAAAAGTACTACCATGATCCAATCCACATTGTGCGACCAGAGGAGATTGAGTTAGATAAGGTACTCACTTACGAAGAGAGACCTATACAAATACTCGATCGAAGGATTAAGGAACTGAGGAATAAACAAATTCCATTAGTGAAAGTTTTATGGAGGAATCATGGAATAGAAGAGGCAATCTGGGAGATGGAGGAAGAGATGCAAAAGAAATACCCTGAGCTGTTTAGTAACCCAGGTGAGCAATTTCGATGGCGAAATTTCTTAAGGGGGAGAGGATGTGAGAACCCAGAACGGAAAAAAAAAATTTAGGGTTTTATTCCTGTGCACCCGTTTTCTTTTATTTTCTTTATTATATTACTTTTATCCACATGTTATCAGGAAATATAGTTTTTAAATCATTTTTCTAGTATAAGGTAGTTCGTGAGAAATTGGAAGTATATTTTGGACGTGGGGCCCGCTAGTGTATTTAGTGAGAGAATTTCGGCCAATTCAGTTCAATTTTTCATAAAGGGATTTAATTACTAGGTGTTAGTAGATGATTAGAGCTTATCTAGATGGTTTAATTATGGAGGGACAAGAAGATAACTCTAAACAAAACAAAGTGCCAAGTGTCCAATTCTTGTTGGATTAAACTTGCTTAACTTTGCCTAACTTTCTTTATCTTTACTTAAAGGTCTAATTTTGACCAAGACATCTTCATTCTTCATCCTCTCTTGGCCGAATTCCTCTAGGAAGAAAAGGGAAGAAATCTTCAACCTTCCATCTTCAAATCCTTGCCAAATCTTGAAAATTAACCGATTGTTTCTTGAATTAGTCCATAAAATCATCTTGCTAAGGGTGTTTGAAGAACTTGGTGGTGTTGTTTTGGAAGAAAACCTCCTAAGCTACAACCTTTCTTGAAGAACTAAGGTATCCTACTTGGAACTCATCTTTTGTTTCTAATTTTGGCCAATTGGTGCCTTATAGTAGCTATATACGTGATTTTACGGAAGATTTGGTGGATTGGAGTGAAGCTAGCTAATTTTCTGATTTTTGTGGGTTTATTTCTGTTTTCCTATGATGGATATGTTTGGGCTTGAATTGATGGTTCTAAATGGTGTTAAATAGCTCTCTTGTACGTTAATTGTGGTTATTTGCGAAAAATTTCAGATTTAGGGTTTCAAATTGGGGGTTTTCTATGGATGATTGTTGCACTTCTAATTGGCTCTAATTGAGGGGTATTGTGATCCTAATGAAGTATATTGAATGGCTTATGAATTGCTTGGGTGCTTGTGGTTGTGTTGGATGGCTTTTATTCCTTATATTTGGGCGTTGTTGCTTTTGCTTACTTGACGTACGTATTTGGATTGAATATTCTTGTGTTTATGTGCTCCTGATATATTACGTGATGGTATCTCATTAGGCGAAAGCTCACTCCGTTAATTTTATTTTCCTTACAGGGAATTACCTTTTGGACTTTTGCTTTTGAAGAATGAGTTGAGTAGAGCTAGTTGAGAGATTTTGTGTAGCTCCTCAATAGTTAGAACCTTAATTGTACCTGGATTTAAATGCTTTCTTTTGGTTTGTAACCCTACAGATGTGGTTTATATTAGTGTGTGTACTCATGTTTAATGTATTATACGGGACTTGTATATGTTCATTTCAAGGATTGTATGAAGTTACTTGCATTTGATTGGGTCTTGAGCGGATTGTGACCTGGCAGTCATTATTTGCTTTACGTTTTAACTTTTGTTTTCCGTTTCTCGATTGTTGGTTTGGTTAAGCGCGCTAATAGACACCCGAACGACTTGAGCTGGTGTTGTACCGTTTTAGTAGTCCTGACGAGAGTTGGGCAGGCAGTCCGCTAACTCCTTTGGTACGCCTTAGGGGAAGGTAGGGCTGTCACACTAAACCTATTAACTGTATGAGCAGCTCATCCGTTCAATTGTTGTGTGGTTTGTGTTAAATCCTTTTACAATATTAGTGGACAATTAACCTGACGTACACTAATGGTGAGTTTAAAATTGGCTAATAGGTGGTTCCACTATTATCTAATCAGTAAAAGTTTATATTGATAACAATTTATTATGAGTAAATTTTATATGTACTGTTGAACTAGTCTCTCACTCTGAGAGTTTTTTTCCCTATTATGGAAAGAGAAATCCCCCTCTCGTGGGAGGCAAGTTTCCTAACAGTTTTTCAAATTCCAAATCCCAAAATAACTGAAATCTATCCTGATAGAATTCTGTCTGAACTTTAAAGAGATTCATTCCATTTTAAGCTTCTTTGTTGAGAACATCAATCTATCCTAAAATAGCAAGAGCATTTCTAGTTAATAGCCATACAAATTCATCCATCTAGTTCGGCAAGAAGTGTAATCCGATTTTTTTGTCTTTTTTCTTTTTTTCTTTTTTTCTTCTCCTTTCCTTTTCTTTTTTCCTTTTCTCTTTCTTCTTTTGTTTGAGTTTTTCAAGTCCCTCATCCTAGATCCCTGATCCTAGGGCTCTACTGCTCAGCCGCGAAGACAATGTATGGAGAAGTGGAAAACGGTGGCGATTTCAAGAGCTGGACTGGAGTTGCAAGATTTGGAACCTGAAGTAGTATAGACTATGG